GTAATTATGTATTCCCATAAGTCACTTTCCTTATTAATCTCTGCATGGTTTCTTCCTTTCTTGCCTCCCTTTCTCTTTTTTTCCTTTCATTTTATTTCATTTGCTAAATGCCCTGAACCAATGTTCTGCTCTTCACAATTTCAGGGAATAGTCCATCCCTTTAGGGAATACTCTCAACCTTTGGGTTGTTTCCCAATAGAAAACTAGACTCAGTTAGAGAGAGAGCCATGGCCAAGAAGAAGGAAAAAAGAAAGGCTATCCCTTCATTGGTAATCTTTAGATTTCCTTCAGTTCTCATATATAGGGGCTCTCCAATATAATTTCAGGTATGGCAGTGTAGTGAGGAGCCAGACCATGCTCTACCTCTCCTCTCTGCTCCAGAATCTCATTTCCCTCCTCAACATAAGTTTTTAAAGTTTGTTACCTTATATTATCTCCCTGTCCTTGTTGGCAATTATTAGTGACTTTTTTTTGGAGAAGGTTTTTTTTTTTTAAAGCTTATTTTTGGTGCATTTTGTTAAGTAGGGGAAGGAAAATCTGTGGAGCAGTCTTAATTCTCCTTTTTAACTTAAAAGTCTACTATCCTCTACCTAGTCATATTTATATTATAAAAGCAGGCTACAGGAAGGGAGAAATATGTTTCATAAGGAAAAAGAACCTAATGCTTTGAGCTGGAAGCGATCTCAGAAGTCATCCACTTCTCAAGTTCACAGAGCCAATTAATGACTGAGTGGGACTACGAAAAGGTCTCCTGATGTTTTTTTCCATCTCCCTCTCTCTCACTAATAGGTGGAGGTTCAGACATCAGAGAAAGAGAGAGAGAGAAAGAGAGAGAGAGGGTAGTTTTCATGCTGGGGACCTTCCCTTCCTGCCTCTAATAATACTGCATACCTCTGGGCCTTTGTTAAGGGCAGCCTGGTGGCACAGAAATTGAGGATCTGACTGTAACACTAAAAAATTATACACCGGAGAAAGACTCATTGAAGTGAAGAAAGCACACTAGGGGAGAGTAAAAGCTTTTTTCTTTTTCCTCTCCTCACCGGTTAAAAGAAAAACCCACCAGAGCTACAACTCATTTTAGGTATGAGACTTTGTAAAAGTAAGAAGTCTGATTTTCTGGGATGGTTCATCTCAGCTACTATGACCACTAATAAGAATTGAGAAATGATCCCTGTGAGAAATGTATTACAAGTAAATGCCTTGGGTTATAATTTTGTCTGTTGGAAAATGGCTTTAAAACCAAGCCAAAGGAGTGTAGTTTTAGTAGGAAATGTAAAAACATAATCTGCCTTGGATGTTATAAATCCCCAAAGAGTCAGACCTATCCTGCGTGATCAGTGAGGCATCTCAGAAGGTGCCCCATCTCTTAGCATGGGCCTTCCCTCTTCTGAAAGGAAGACCCATCAGCACCAGACAGCTATGAAGCTGGCCCCAAGCTTATTGGACCAATTGGTCACCAGTCATTGGACAAAACCAGAGAAATAAATATTTCCCAAGCTTCCCAGAAATGCAGAGTCCTGTTGCTTAAAGAGATCCTTGATCATTATTCTACAACGAGGCCTTTAGTTAATTCTGACTTGGGTACATCCAGAAGTTAAATTTGACACCTAGCTGCAAGAAAAAGACAAAGAGAAGTACTAAAATTATGAATAAAGTCTTTTCTGTCAAAGTCTGTTGGGTACCAAAAACTTACAATTCATAAATAATCTAGCTCTCCAGGTGGTAATGTAAGTGTCATGAGGGAATTCAACAATGATGGAAGTCTTTAGGTTCAGAAACACCCTGGGAGCGAATGACCTCTTGCTCCTGAGAGGCAGCAGAGCATCATGGTAAAGAGGATAGGCTCTGAGGTCAGGGACCCGCTTTGCCATTTATTGACTTGGGCAAATTACTTACTTATAAGCATCAGTTTCCTCATCTGTAAAGTGCAGATCATGATTGTAAGTATTCATGTGTTTATTACAAAGATTAAACAAGATAATATATGTAAAATACCTGGATTAGAGTAGGTACCCAATAAATGTTAACTGGTGTTATTGTTATTATTTTTCCCTGAAGACTAGAGTTCCCATTACTTTTACTCTTGCTCATATTTCTGTAAAGAACAGTTCAACAATTTCTCACATCCTGCTCTTTTCACTTTTTCCCTTTTGTGTATATGTGGTTAGAACCCTGAAGAAGACAAGTTTTTATTTCATTTTTACCTGCCTCCCACACATCTCTCTATCCCTACTGTCTCATAAAAGCAGCTAGATTTTCTTTTGAGAAACCACCTCTGTCCCTACTCTCAGACCTCATGTTTTGGGTAGGGCTTACCTGGCCCCCAGCTCCAGGATGTTTAGCCAATCAGATCATTCCATCCCTCTAAATAGATGGATTGGCTCAGGAGTGGGCAGATGACCCAAGTCAGGGCAATGAGATGCAATCCTGGGGCGTTTGCTAGATCTCTTGGGAAAGGGAGAACTGCTAACCTATAATGGTATAAGTCTGGACTGGAGGTCACCACAGGGAAAGTCGGCCTGAGAACGGAACTGTGGACAGCAATGGCAAAATGGAGTAACATATGTCAGGCTTCTAAAATAGAGCTGGGAGGCAATTAAGGAAGTGAGCTTATGCATGTACACCACGTCTCTGCCCAGATGGAATGGGATGTTTTGAACTGTGCCTCACTGTTGTTGTCTTGACCTTTCTTTAAGAAAAGAAAAAATGCTTATTCCTATAGAAAAATGTTTACTCCCCTAGATAAGAAATTTTTGGCATTAAAGATGGCCCTAGCAACCAATCATGCGTAGCCAAGGAATAATAGTTGTTGCTAGCATCCATCCCACGTCTTGCAAAACAACCTGTGTGATTTATCTCATTTTATCTTTTTAGATCTTGACTTTCTTTGTCTTCTCTGGAGCACATTTTGGGTTTCTGCCTAAATCTGTGTCTCCCGAATTGTGGTTCTAACTGCACAAATAAATATCTGTTGTTTAAATTACAGTGATTTTTCCTCAGCCGACAGAAGCAACACAGAAGAGTGCAGAACTGAGAGAGATGGCTTCCTAATAGTATGTTTGAGTACTTGGATCCAGTTGTAACTGAAGACATACACACACACACACACACACACACACACACACACATTACAGTTTTATAAGCCAAATAAAGTCTTTTTTTCTTACTTAAGTCATTTTGGAATGAGTTTCTGTCATTGCAGTTGAAGGAGTCCTGACAAATAAACCAGTCCTAGAAAGAAATATGAAGTGGGCAGTGTGATCCAATAGCTTATTTCTATATTTTTTCCACATTTCCCCTCCCCTCTTGTATTCAGTGCCTTTATGCTCTCTTCTTCCTATTTATTTTCTCACGGGAAATAATCTGATACTATTTGTCCTTGACGCTGCATGGTGAATTTCTGTTACTAGAGTATTTCTTTTCCTAGAGTATTGACATTTCAAGCCTTACATCTAGTCCTACAATGAAAGGCTTTGCTCTTGTTAAAGGAATTTAGCTCTAAATAAGTAGGTGTGTCAAGATGGAAAAAGACATAAAAAATGTACCAACAAAATAACAATGTGTAGATCTTGTTTGGATTCTAATTCAAACAACAGTTTTTAAATAAACACCTTCTGATACGATCAGGGTAAATTGAACATTGAGTGGATATTTGTTATTCAGGAATAATTGTTAAAATATTTACATGTGATAATACTAATATGGTAATTTTTAAAGAGTTTCTATTGTTAGGAAATATTTTTGGATGAAAAGATACAGTGTTTGAGATTTGCTTCAAAATATTCCAGTAGGCAAGGGATGGGAGGAGAGAGAAAGATTGGTGATAAATTAATAATGGTTGAAGCCGGGTGATGGATTGAGCGTAGGGTTCATTATACTATTCTTTCTAACTTTATATGTTTGAAATCTTCCATAATAAAAGAGTTTTAAAAGTAATAAGTAGAATTGGCCAAGGCTGCTATTCGCGTGCCCAGAATCTATGCTGTTGTTCTCCCTTTATTGTTGAGGAGGCAATGTAACTGTCCAGATTCAATTATTTTTTATTGATTTTTTTTCCAGTCTCTCTTGCAGATGTGAGCAACTAGTGAAAAGCAGATAGAAGCCATTGGATGTGGCTTCCAGAAAAATTCTTTAAAGATGCTGGCTCAACTGGTAAGCGAGCCTGTGACTCTTGCCTCTTTTCTGCTGCCTGGAACAAAGACCTGAGGACAGGAGCTGGCAGTCCTCTTGAACTGCCGGCAACCGCAAGGCCAGAATGCATAATATGAACCGTGGCACCAAAAGATGGAAGGAGCCTGGATACTTGATGACTGTGGAGCTGCCGCACCAGGCCTGAGACGCTTTCCCCTTTTTTTCACCAGGGAGAATTAAATTCTTTTCTCATTTTAAATTTGCATTTGCCCTTACAGAGGCTGTAAATTCCACGAAGACAGGGTCCCTCTCTTTTAGCTCACAAACTTGGCTGCTTTTCGGAATTATCTGGGGTGTTTTAAAAATATTAAGGCTTGGACCTGACTTCCAGAGTGTCTGATTTCATTGACTTGGGGTACGGCCTAGGTAGGCACTGGAATTTGTAAAAGCTGCCCCTGTTGATTCTAACGTGCAGCCAATTTGGGGACCCACTGTTTTAGCTCGCCATTTGATCCCCGGAGGGCTTGGCCTTCTGCTGGACGGCGGTCGGGATTGGGTAACTGAGATCGCTTGTGACCGCCTGGAGTAGGAGGGGCACCGACCCTGGTAGCTTTGGGCACCAAAGCCTACCCAGCCCCGCCTTTTCCCTGCCCCGGCCCCGCCCCCGCCCTGCTGTGGCCTTGGATGACGCGACAGCGCGTGCGCTCGCTGAGCCCGCGTTCCGGGAGCGCCGATGTGCGCCTGCGCGGCGCCGGATCTCGGCGGGCAGTTTCAAGTTCGGTCTTGGAGTTGCGTCTCGTGATCACGGGCTTCCGGCCGAGACTGGAGTCTTCGCAGCTCGCGACCCGCCAGCTAGTGGACCCTTTGCACCAAATCGGCACGAGGTTGGAGTCTGGTGTTGGGGATCCTGCCCTCGGAAGCAGGCGGAAGGCATTGCTTGGGCGGGGTAGGGGGTGCAGGGTCGCGCGGGCGGGGCGGAGGAGCAGGGCTTGACAGTCCTACCGTGGGTTGGCTGGAGTGGGTGCTTTAGACCTCAGCTACCCTGGGAGTGCATAGTAAATGACTCCTTTCCTTCTCCTCCCTCCGCCTCCTCACCGACTGCAAACGGTAAAGTTCTAATCCCCCCCTCCCCGCCCCGAAGCATAGCAGAAAATGCTTATCTGGCCCCTTTTATTTGATCTTACTGTATTTTTCCTTAAAATTCTTGTGTATTTTGCGTTTTTAAAGAAAATACCAATGTTATCTTTATATATAAATAGTGCATTTGATCTACTAATCCTTAAGGAAGTGACGCAGGTTTGTTCCCTGTACCTTGGTTTGGGATGCATTGATCATAGAAGATTCTAAGACAAGTCAGTACTGGACGTTGGTTAGAAACTGAATTTTGTAGAATTTAAAGAAATCACTCTTGAATTTAAAGAAACTACTTTCAAGGAGATATGATTTATTGGATATTTACTATTGGATTTTGAAATTGAACAGAAATTTATCTGGCTTTTTTTAATAAACATGTTTATATTTTTTTTCTTCAGAGCCTTAAAGGATGGCCTCCTCAGATCTGGACCAATTATGCTGTCATATTAATGAAAAGATTGGCAATATTAAAAAAACTCTGTCACTGAGAAACTGTGGTAAGTAAAAACAGATTCCACTGACTTTGTACATACAAAATGTATTTTGATTATTGTTCCACTTTGAATGATATCTTATGCCTCGTTAAGTGAATGTATCTTAGAAAGGTAATTTTAAATTTTGAATAGTGACTTTAAAAGCTTGCCAGCATCAATATTTTGAATATTGCAGAGGATACTAAAATGTAAGTTACATTGAACGATGAATTGGGTATTAATTAAATTTATTTACTTATGGTTTTCTGAGAAACACAAAGCATATTAGTAAGATTTGAAGGTTATGTGGTATTTGTGGTTCCAGAGCTAAATGGAGATACTAAAAGGCAAGGAATAAAAACAGAAATGGAAAAGACCCAGGGAGCTAGAAGTAGCTCATAACCCATCTTACAGCCTGCTTGGGAGGAAGTTTATCACTATATATTGCTGGGAAACAACTAATTGAAAATGAAATCAGTTTTTTAAACATTCAGAAACTTAGAGGTTGTAAACCAGCTTCCAAAATATTTTGAAGCACTGAGAGAATGATGCAATGGATGTGCAAAGAAATAGGTGATCCTTGTCAAGTCTGGAAAAATGTTAATAAAAATGATGTGCTGCTCCCCAGCCCTATCTAGGAGAGTTAAAGATTTATTGATAGGCAGAATTACATCTGCTGGGAAGATCGTGTTGAAATTTTACTGTAGTTTGTATTATGAATTGATAATTAAAAAAAAAATTTCAAATATGAAATTATAATGTTGGAATGCCCTTTTGAATTATACATGTCCTCCTAGGGACTTTGATATTCTCCATCCCTTGTTGAGAACCTCTAATAAAGGAGCCTCATCTGTTTTACAGTTTATGGCTCACATACTCTGTAGAAAGTTAAAGCCGAAGGGACTGTGGGTTCATCTTCTCCAGCCTCTCATTTCACGCTGGAGGAAACTGAGACTCTCAGAAGTCAAGAGGCTTGCCCAGGTCCCCCAGCTCGTGAGTAGTGTTGAGACTAGTTTCTGTGTCCTGATTCCCAGTCTAGTCTCTTTCTATTTCTATGCTGCTTTTATTGAAAAATCTAAAAGTGACATCTAGATTTCTAATAATATGACATTGTGGTTTATAATAAATATATATATTGGTCTCTGCCTCCCAGTTCCTGACATAGAGGTCCTGAAACTCTTGTAGTTTCCTAAGTGATAAGAGTACTGGGAGCATCTTTTGTTCTAATATTTGATCTTTGACCCTGGTTCATGACACAAGGCTCCTAAAACCCTTGTAATTTCCTGGGTAATAGGAGTGTTTTTTATTCTAATGTGGCAACTCTGGGTGGGCATCTGGATGAGGACTGGTCACCAGAAAGACCAAGCCGTGATTAGAAGCTTGGAGTTTTCTGCCCCACCCCCTAATCTCATGTTCAGGGAGAAGGTCTAAAAATGGAGTTAATGGTAGATCATGCCTACCGGATGAAGCCTCCATAAAATCTCAAAAGTATGAGGTTTGGAGAGCTTCCAGATTGGTGAACATGTGGAGGTGCTAGGAGAGTGGTGCCCTCAGAGAGGGCCTGGGAGCTCCGTGCCCCTGCCCTGTGCATCTCTTCCAGCTGGATGTTCATCTGTATCCTTTATCATATTCTTTTATAATAAATCAGTAAACATAAGTAAACTGTTTTCTTGAGTTCTATGAGCTGCTCTAGCAAATTAATTGAACCTGAGAAGGGGATCATGGGAACCTCTGATTTATAGCCAGTTGGTCAGAAGCACAGGTAACAACCTGGACTCAGGATTGGCATCTGAAATGGGAAGGGGACAGTCTTGTAGGACTGAGTCCTTAACCTGTTGGATCTGATGCTTTCTCTGGGTAGATAGTGTCAGAATTGAGTTGAATTGTAGGACACCCAGCTGGAGTCACAGAGAATTGCTTGTTGAGAGGAACCTCCTCCCCATTTGGTGACCAAAAATGTCAGAAGTGAGGTATTCTTTGTGAAGGTAAAGGACACACACAGGGAAGACATAGTGGGAAGAACTGGGTTTTTCCCTACACAGGATATGGAAAACAGAGTTTTTCCTTTACAAATAATTATCCTTGTTTTGATTCTCTTTCTGAGGGCATGATTACTGTTGGATAAAAATATAATTTGGAGATCTTTACAACTATCAAACCTTGAGTTTAAATGACTCCACCAAAGCATGAGGCCTGGCCGATGCCAACGTATTAGATTAGTACATACTGGGTAACCATCATTTGTATGTGGGGAGAGTAATTTGTTTGGTTCCCTACCTATTTAATAAAGCCCTGTAATTTGTTTGCCACTTTGCTGTAATTTACTAGGTCACTGTATAAAAAATAGTGAGTTTGCTCAATTGATTATATTACTACAGATCAGTAAACAAGGCCCTAAAATTTAGATGACTAAAGGTTATTTGAGATACCAGTGTACAGGGAGGAGATACTGTATCCAGTTACAGGCATACCTCATTTTATTGCATGTTGCTTTATTGCACTTCCCAGATGTTGTGTTTTGGTTTTTTTGTGTGTGTGTGTGAGGAAGATCAGCCCTGAGCTAATATCCATGCCAATCCTCCTCTTTTTGCTGAGGAAGACTGGCCCTGAGCTAACATCCGTGCTGATCTTCCGCCACTTTATGTGGGACGCCGCCACAGCATGGCCTGACAAGCGGTGCCTTGGTGCGCGCCCGGGATCCGAACCTGGGCCGCCAGCAGCAGAGCGCACGCTCTTAACCGCTATGCCACGGGGCCAGCCCCGATATTGTGTTTTTTACAAGACCATCCACCAGCAAAAAGATTACGACTCACTGAAGCCTCAGATAATGGTTAGCATTTTTTAGCAATAAAGTATTTTTAATATATGTACATTTTTTTAGACATAATGCTACTGCACACTTACTAGACTACAGTATAGTGTAAACATAACTTTTATATGCACTGGGAAACCAAAAAATTCACATGACCTGCTTTATTGGGGGGATCTGGAACTGAGCTCGCAATATCTCTGAGGTATGCCTATAATTATCTAACCACTTGAAATTAATCTCAGTAGACACATCAGTGCTCTCATTTACTTGTTAATTTTTTTTAGTGGTTTTAAGCCTGGTGTCAAATACAATGAGCATTGCCCTATTAGATAGAATAATAGACTGCTTCTTGTTATGATGCTGAATAGTAGTTAGACTTTCTGATGCTTTGCTAGGTTCCAGACAACAGTGCTAAGCCAATCTTAGGTACTTTTTCACTTACCTTCACAGTCACCTTCTGAGGTAGGTACTGGTTTCTCTGACTTCTGCTGCCTCCATTATCTACAGATAAGGTCAAATTGTGCTTGTACTTATGTGTATTTCATTGTTTGACTGCTAAAAGTGAAGATGGAAAGATTTGATTATGAGGATAGTTTTTATTTTGTGCTTTTGATCTGCCCTTAGAAAATTCTTTTTTACTACTACTTTTATTTCTAGGGAGGAGCATACTCTGGTTTTCCCATCCTCAAATCTATGAAGCTAGAGAGAGGTGCTAGAAGGTGGGGTTGGGGGTATGAGAGCATCCTACTTTATAAACGTCTGGTTGTGTTTCTGCCAGGCACCCGGGGTTTATCACCAGCCTGTGACTTTTTATGTTACTTTCTCTGCTTGGGGATTCTGAATAGTGTGGATAGCATATATATGAATCCCAAACCTCTATTACTAATTTTGAAAGGGAGCTCTCCCCTACCTCCCACACACACTGTGGAGGGCCAGTTCAAAACATAATCTTATCTCCCTGGCCGGTGATTGGAGTTTTTCAAGTTTGCACTTTCACTGAAGATAACATCCCATGAAGAAGGTATGGCCTCATTTGGGATTCTCACTTCCAACACCCTTTGCTTTGAAGTCCCAAAGCCTTGCGTCTTATGCCCATTAAAACCAAATGTATGAGGCTGCTGAGACAGACCACCTCCTCTCCCCAGCATTCCTCCGCACCCCCACATGAGGGCTGCTGCAGCATCAGCTCACGCATACTACCTGGTCTGTGCTTCTCTCTTCACGTTGGAGCCCTTGGGGATTTACTGTTCTCTTGAAAGCTCAGCTGTGTGTGTAGAACAGTGTTTATTTTATCGAGCATTTCTAGGTGTTTTATTATAGTGGAGGAATTTGCCAAAAATAAAAGACTCAGGGGATACTTTGTACTTACCTCTTCCTTCCCTTTCTAAGAAGGGAACTTACTTAGAAATGAGTTCTAAGAACTACTTAGAAATGAAGTCTTAAGATTATCCATGGAGACAGGTCCTAGGGGCTGAATCAGCAGTCCTTTCTCCACCCCCTAGTGTCTCTAAGGTAAAGCTATCTGTTCCAAGAGTTCAGTTGGGTACTTGTATGGTATTACTTTTCTATATACTTTGTTCCCATTTTATCTTTGTTTACTAATAGGCCAAGAACCTACCTTGAAGACTGTATTAAATAAAATAGGAGATGAGATCATTGTAGTAAATGAACTTCTAAATAAATTGGAATTGGAAATTCAGTATCAAGAACAGACCAACAATTCACTCAAGGTAATGTTTTTCTTGTGAAGAAACGAAATAAAAAGGCAATAAATACAAACTCCCTAGTCACCAGGGAATTCTTAAGGGTTCTTTAAGTTTATAATGTTCTTAGTTTTGTGAATTATTATTAATGGTATAGGGTGCTATTTGCATTTTATTTTCCCAGTAAAAGGACTGGCACTCCAGAGGTATTTCTTTTTTCATGCTGGTAGCCAATGGAATTGAACTTTACTACAAGGGAGGATTTCCTAAATAATTCTTGGTAGGTTTAATTTAAACAGATGCTATCCTGGGAGAGTGGTGTAGAAGGGACACCTGACCTGGGATGAGGAGATGTGGATTCTCACCCTGGCTGCCCTTGGCACCCTCTGCCGCCCTGAGAAAGCCATTTTACCTCTTGGGGTCTTAGGGTCCTCATTTGGTAAATAATGGGTCATGCTGAACTATTTCTTAGATCCCTTTTATTCTGCATTTCTATATTTCTTTAAATGTAATATAAGGATTCTCAAGTAAAGAAAGACTTGAGCCTCATTCACATGCACATTGTGTTCTAAATAAGCCTTCTAGATTGACTTCAGCTAGTAAAAATGCTTGTGTACTTCCTGATGGGAAAATACTCAATCCGTGCAGTAATTACTTCATGCTGTTAAGAGCCATTGATGTGTTCAATGGGATTGAACAAGATGGCTTCTACGATCCCTTATACCCTTATAGTCCTTAAGGTCTGTAAAGATTTTTCAACTATAGGAATGGGCATGATTATGCCTATCTTACTATTAGTTGAAATGAAATTAGTATCTATGAACATCATTCAGCTCTTCAAAAGAAAGATGTCATATAAATTCAAAATAGAAACCAGTATTGATTTCAGTTCTAATCTGTCCAAGAATGTCTAGGGTTAGGTGTGGGCCTAGAGAATGTTCAACTCAGAATTGAAGGCTATTTGGAATTTTTCTTCATGTTATGATTGAGAATCAGATGACAGGAATCCAAAGGTGCAGAATACTTTCCTTATTAAATTTGCATGAGTTCATAGCCTTAAGTTCTAGTGAAAGTTAACATAAAACAAAAACAAGCAGTTATGATCAAGTGGAAATTTTCATAAAGCTGGAATGTGTGCGTGTCAGCAATGGAAGTCATTCCAAGCAGTGTCTCGTGCTTGCCATCCCAGCATGCGTTGTCACTTGGGTGCTTTATACAGGTGACGCTGGGGAACGCTTGCTAAGTCAACAAAAGCAGTTTACCGGAATGACAAGCGTAAATCTTTCATATATTTTTCAGTTGCCCCCCAAGGTTAAAGTATTTTAGAAAGACTTCAATGCCAACCTTGCATGTTGTAATATGATTATAATAATTATTCTCTGAAAAAAGTCCAGTAGAGAAAAATAATATATTGCCTTCCAAAAGCAGCTCTAGAAACCAAAGAGCTCTTTTTTCTTAATATTGCTGCATTCAGTGCTTTTCCATCCCTTCTGTGTTTTGAATACTCACAGTCATTGTGATTGTGGTTCGCAGTCTTTCATGCTCTCTCTAACTTCTTCAAACACTCACAGGCAGGATGGATGCTGATTTGTGAGCATTTTTTAAATTTCAGGAACTCTGTGAATCTCTTGAAGAAGATTACAAAGATGTGGAACATCTCAAAGAAAACATTCCTCCCCATTTGCCTCAAGTAACAGTAACCCAGAACTTGTAAGTATATTTATAGTTATTCTTCCTAACTGGATTTATAAACCTATTAAAACAGACACCTTAAATCTTTTTGCTTTTTCATGTACTGGCAGTTTTGTTAGTGACTATCCAGTTTCTTTGTCACTTAACACTAGAATTAATATCTCCCTGTCTTCACCAGTTTTCTTATCCTGCTGTCTCTGAGAAAATGTTGCCCCTCTTTCCCAAGGGTGAGTCTCCTCCAGGCTCTCTTTTTCCACTTTTTCTCATTTCTTTCTCTTAAAGCAGAATTTTTCAACCTCAGCTCTGTTGACATTTTAGGCCAGATAATTCTCTGTTGTGAGAACAGGATGTTTAGTAGCATCCTTGATCTTTACCAACTAGATATCAGTAGCACCCACCCCCCACCCCCCTGTTATGACAATGAAAACTGTCTCCAGATGGGCCAGCCCCGTGGCTTAGCGGTTAAGTGCGCGCACTCCGCTACTGGCGGCCCGGGTTCGGATCCCGGGCGTGCACCGACGCACTGCTTGTCCGGCCATGCTGAGGCCGCGTCCCACATACAGCAACTAGAAGCATGTGCAACTGTGACGTACAACTATCTACAGGGGCTTTGGGGAAAAAAAAGGAGGAGGATTGGCAATAGATGTTAGCTCAGAGCCGGTCTTCCTCAGCAAAAAGAGGAGGATTAGCATGGATGTTAGCTCAGGGCTGATCTTCCTCTCACACAAAAAATAATAATAAAAAAAGAAAAAGAAAACTGTCTCCAGACATTGCCTTATGTCCTCTAGGGGGCAAAATCTCCCCTGACCCTTGAGAACCACTGCCTTAGGGTAAGAATAAGGTTATTGAGCTTCTTATCTTAAAAACAACAAAAGAAACAAAAACCTAGCTCTGCTTTTCCCTTCAAGCTACTGTCCTGTCTCCGTTCACTGCCAATATATGTTTGTGCCTCCCTTTCTCCCAGAGCCCCTAAAACCTGGCTTTTGGCTGTTATTACTGCCACACTTATGAAACTGATCAGTTGAAGGTCACAAAGAGGTCAAAAATTGCTCCTCAGCCCAGATTCTTTGCAGATTTTATTTTGCTGTCCATCTTTTTGTTTTTGACATTCTGTTTCCTGTGCTCCCACTGTGCTTTCTTAGTTGTCATCCCACATCTGACTTGGCTGCCTCCTTTTTCTCTGCCTTCCTTTAAATTATAAGTATCCCCTCAAGCTCTATTTAACTCACACTTACCTAACATCACTGTTAATGCACTCAATGTTTAACTCCAGCCTTGACATGACATCTAGTTCTGCTGTTTTAATTGCTTGCTGCGATGATGGGTGAGCTGTTCTGTCCTCCAACTCTGCGTGTCTAAGACTGAACTCACTGGATCCTAGTTACTCACCCATCCGTGCCTGCTGCTCCTGTCCTCCCATCGCCTGGACAGGATCTCAGCATCTCCCACCTGTCTCGCCCTCTCATAGCCCTCAGCCATCCACCTGCCTCTGCGGGCGGTGTCTGTCCCTGCCCTCCCTTTTGTTCTCGTTGTCTGGCTCTGAATGAGATCTTCCATCAGCTTTTGTCTTTATGATTTGGGAGCTCCTGTGTTTTCTTTCCCATATTTCCCCACTCCCATCTCTCCAGTCCTCTGTCACCAAAATTATATTTCTGAAAGGGGGCTCCAAGTATGTAAAAATATTCCATGGCTAACAATTGTTTTTAACTTTTGAAATGTATCATATATATAGAAAAGTGATTAAAGTATTATTAAGTGCAAATTAAAGAATAATAATAAGAGAAACATCAGTGTATCTACCAGTCAGATTAAGAAATAGGACATTACCAGTACCTTACAACACTTGTGTTGCAGACCCTCCTTCTATCAAAGAGAAAATCATCCTGGCGTTTATGATAATCACACTTTTACATATGTGTTTTTATAAACAATATATTATTTAAATTTGAAAAACTGAAGGGAAGGCATGAACCTTGCTGTATAGGAAGAGAGGTGTATTTCTGCTGATGGTTGAAGGTCTCCAGAAGAAGATAAGCTCAACAGAGTCCCTGGCATGGTCAGAGTACTTTGGATTTTCCCTATGAGAAGAGAAAATTAGTGGGCTAGGTCATGAATGAATGCTAGGAACTGAGGTCTTCATAGGATGTCCACCAGGGTTATAGTGTGCGCTGGCCGTTGGACATCCAGCAGGAAAATGGCCTGGGGAATAGGAGGAATTGTCTTCTAAACTCACTGTGGCCTGGCTTTCAGGGCTAGGTCAGAGCAGAACCTTTCTGTAGGTTGAAATGGTGATTTTCAGCTGATACACGGGGCAGGGCGTGAAAGAGAAATTAGGAGCTTCCTTAGCACACGGTCAAGACAAGCAAGTACAGGTAAGAATCAGCCAGGCTCCCCATGGAGTCTCATGTTAGGATTCATGTAAGGATGATGGTACCATGGCATTGGGCATCTTTATCTTGACAACCCACAACATGGCCATCTCCTCAGTCACACCGCCTCAGTCAGGGCTGGTTGCCCTTGGTGTCTGGTGCTCAGCTGTCCTCTTGGAATCTCACTTCCTGTCTTTCTTGGGATTCCCTTCGCTTGCTCCTGGGTTGGATCTACTCTTCTCTGTATCCCATTTCTTTTTTGGAGCAGTCAAGCCAGTATGGCTTGACTTGCTGCTGGCAACAGGAGTCTCTTCCTTCCCTAACAGTTATACAACCTAGAAGCTACAGCCTATTTCTAGACTCCATTTACTAGTGAGGTAAGAGCTATGTTAGGCTTCTCACTGGCTCCAAAAATTGGGCGAGACTGAGCAACGGTGACCCTGACCCATGCTCATTACTGGCAGCTAAAATAAGTCTGCAACAGGCAGGGACTGATACTAGCAACCAATGGGATAGATTAGAAAAATAGAAGTACAAGATGATTTATGTTTCCATGCCTGGAAATAGGGAAGTCAGCAAGAGAAGCTGTTTAGAGGTTAAGTTCAACTTTACATACATTGACTTTGAGGAGCCAGTGGGATAACTGACGAAGATGTTTAGCATATGTCCTATATGTACCATGTTTTGGGTACGTAAATACAATTCTATTACTGAAGATTTGGGGACTTAATTTTTCAGTGTTCTCTTTTCAGATCTTCATGAACAGTAGGAGTAGGGATAGAAAAAATGTTGGCTATAAAATTATTATAACAAGATGAATCACATGTTTTATACTGATTATTTTCAGTTGGGAAAATTTTCTAGTATGCTGCAGAATTCTGATGATTACCGGTATGTCTGTGTATCTCTATTCTGTAGTGTTAAGGTATCAGATCTTGACCCTGAGGAACCAGTCAAAGTCGAGGAACCTGCACCCACAAAGAAGCCCCCAAAAGAACAAAGAACTATTAAAGAGATGCTGTTTATTACTTCTGATGAGTTTAATGGCATTCCTGCGTAAGTATTTAAGATAAATTTTAACATTCAACTCTAATAACATACATGATTGTTTAAATCATAAAGCTTGATTATGTTAATCATACTATCCTGTGTTCAGTTATTGATCTTTTCTAAAATAGTTTTACATTGTACTATGAAAATGCAGGAAATCTTTTGTTGAAAATGTTTAAAATCTTTTCGTAGATCTAGAGATGGGTCAGTTTATTGCTGAGTCCTCTCCAGGACCATTTTGTGATACAGATTTAGCCAATTACATTTTAGAAGTAGCCTCAGTTTTGCTGTCGTTTTAAGGGAAGTGTGTTGTATAGATTTGAGAGTTAGAATGGAGAGTGTTGTGTTTGTTTGGTTTCCATTTGCCCCTTAACTCGTGCCACACGCTTGTTTGAGTGTGTGTGTAGTCAGGGCGCTGGATCACTGAGAAGAATACAGGAAGTGAATAAGACAAGATGCTTTCCCTAGATGGGGGGGGGGGCGGTCTCCTTTGCTCTTTACAGATGATAATAATGGGGAACCAATTATGGAAATCCATGTTTTTAAACTCTCATAATTCCAGGGCTTTGCTTAACTTCTCAGCTATATATTGTTACGTTTCTCTTTACTTTTTTATTATACATGTTGTTAGAAAATGTTGTCAGGAAATAACTCATCTGTAATTCCACCACTCAGATAATAGAGAGTATTTCTTCCAGATTTTATTTAATTTCACATATATAACAGATTGTTTCTGATTGTTATTACAACAATACAGTTATACTATAAATACAATTTACTTACTTTTTTATCATGAACATTTTTCTATCAACTATTAATGTAAACTTGGATTTTTTTTATGTGAGGAAGATCGGCCCTGAGCTAACATCCAATACCAATCCTCCTCTTTTTTGCTGAGGAAGATTGGCCCTGGGCTAACATCCGTGTCCATCTTCCTCTACTTTATATGGGACACTGCCACAGCATGGCTTGACAAGCGGTACATCGGTACGTGACCAGGATCTGAACCTGTGAACCCCAGGCCGCTGCAGCAGAGTGCACGCACTTAACTGCTGCGCCACTGGGCGGGCCCCTAAACTTAGATTTTAAAAGTTGTATAATATTTCATCATGTGGTTCCCCTATAAGTTATTTAAGCATTCCCTTATTAAATATTTGGATTGATTTCATTGTTACAAGTAATGGTACAGTGAAATTTCTTTTATTTTTTTTATTGCACTAACTTTGGTTTATAACGTTATATAAATTTCGGGTGTACATCATTATATTTTGATTTCTCTGTAGATTACATCATGTTCACTGCCCAAAGACTGATCATAGTCCATCACCAAACTGAAATTTCTTGTAGACAAGTCTATTTTGTAATTCCTTATTTCCTTGAGATAGAGACCTAGGAAGAGAATCCCTGGGGCAAAGAGTGTGATTATTTTACTTTCCTGAGAGATGTCCATACCAGTTTTTGTTTTTTAATTAATAAACTGTATTTGTTAGAACAGTTTTAGGTTTACAGAAGAATTGAGCAGATAGTCCAGAGTGTTCTCATACCTGAAGACCATAGCCTCTATTATTAAAATCTTGCATTAGCATGGTGCATTTGTTAGAACTGACAAACCAATATAGATGCATTATTAACTAAAGTCCATAGTTGACAGTAGGGTTCGCTCTTTGTCCTGTACATTTTGGGGGTTTTGACAAATGCATGGTGTCATGTGTCCGCCCTTACAGTACCATACAGAATAGTTGCACTGCCCTAAACGTGCCCTGTGCTTCACCTGTTCCTCCCTGCCCCGAGCCCCCGGCAATGACTAATCTTTTTACTGTCTCTATAGTTTTGCCTTTTCCAGAATGTCATTTAGTTGGAATCATACACTATGTAGCCTTCCCAGACTCCTTTCTTTCACTTAGTAATATGCATTTAAGATTCCTCTCGTGTCTTTTTATGGCTTGATAGCTTATTTCTTTTTATCACCGACTAATATTCCATTGTCTGGTTGTACCACAGTTTGTTTATCCATTCACCTGTTAAAGGACATCTTGGTCACTTTCAGTTTTGGGCAATTATGATTAAGGCTGCTGTAAACATCATGTGCAGGTTTTTGTGTGGACGTAGTTTTCAACTCATTTGGGTAAATACCTAGGAGAGCGATTGCTGGATCATATGGTAAGACTGTTTAGTTTTGTAAGAAACTGCCAAACTGTCTTCCAAAGTGGCTGTACCATTTTGCATTCCCACCAGCAATGAATGAGAGTTCCTGTTGCTTTACATCCTCACCTGCATTTAGTTTTGTCAGTTTTTTCTATTTTACCTATTCTAATAGATGTGTAATGGTATCTTGTTTTAATTTTCAGTTTCCTAATGACATATGATGTTGAGCATCTTTTAATATGCTTATTAGCCACTTGAAAAATCTCTGGCTGTTTCACAGTTCTGAGCCTAGTAATGAGGCTGACATTTCTCTTTAATCTTGTTTTTTTGGTCACTCAGTCGTTTCCTTTATTGACAGCTTTATTTTCATGAAAATTCTGTTTGATGCTATTCAGTTTTTTAAATTGTCGTTGTTATTGTTGTTGTTCATTGGCTGAGCTAAAGGAAAGAGCAAATGTCTGTGAGGAGCATAGGAGGATTTTTAGAAAATGCTTCCAGGAAGAGATATAGGAAGGAAATTAGAATAGTCGTGGTAGAGTATTCATTTTTAAACTAAGGGATTATTTAATGAATGACAGACGTTAGAAGGTTAGGATAAGAAAGAAGGTATTCCAAGCATGGGATTTTTATTTATTTATTTTTAAAAAATTAATTACTGAGAGTAGAATTAAAATGGAAAACATTGGTAACAGTGGGGGATGGGTATCGAGGAAATCAAGGTGGCAGTTCAGAGGACTTAAAGGAACTGCATTGTGGAGAGCTGTGGTATCAACAGTTTGGAAATTGTGGTTAGAAAAAATAGAGCAGCAAAAATGAATTTAGAAAAGAAGGGAATAATGCAAATGAATGGGTTTTGGTCAATATGAACATTTTCTTTTAAACATATTTATGTGTTACTTTACATTACAGAAGTTTTGGTTAGAAAAATGCCCCTTTGAATAGAGGCGAGGGACAGAGTTTAACATAATGATTCCACAATTTGTTGAGGGGAAAAATTGAGGCAGATCATTAAGTTTTGGCTTTGGTATGTACAGACCACTCGAAATCAAGAGTCTCGTTTTTTTAATAAGACTCTGTGGCAACTGGGAGGATGGAAAAGAGGGTGATCTAGATTGAAAGAGTGGGATTTAGAGTGAACCAGACAATACTCGAAGGGAATTGAGCGAGGAAATAGAAAAGGGCGTGGTGACACATTGGTCCTCCTCTGGCCTTGCAGCTTAACTTCAGAACCCTCTCGTTCCTTTGCAGTGCTTGCATCGGCGGTTCTTCTCTATCTTAATTGGCATTGTCACCTTTTTTGTGATCTTCTTTGTCATCCTTCATCTCCCCCCCCCCTTTTTTCTTTCTCTCTCTGAACATATAAGTTTTTGCAGAAAACTAAGGTGGTATGAGTTACATAATTTATTAATATTTAAATTTTTCTTTCCCTTGCTCACAAACATTTAAAAATGTTTAAGTAAACTTCTGTCTTGCAATTAATCAGTCAGTTTGAATCAGAATTTGAGAGCTTATTTTAAATTGTAATATTAATTCTTCTAGTAATTAGATGGAGAATAGAGATTAATGCATCCAGGCATAACTAGGGAAGATAGGCACTGATATGTTGTGGTCTCTAATTTTTCAGCTGTTGAGACATGTCTGGTTTATCTGGAAGTTGATATAAAATTTTTTTATTAAGAGTACTAATAGGTTTGCTACTGTATAAAGTCATCATACATAATCACTTTTCAAAGAAAACAATTTTATGTAACGATTCTTTAAAATATTAATCATATACTTATTTGCAGGTACATGAAATCCCGCTTAACCTACTGTCAAATTAATGATGTTATTAAAGAAATCAACAAGGCAGTAGTTAGTAAATATAAGATCCTACATCAACCAAAAAAGTCTATGAATTCTGTGGCCAGAAATCTCTATCACAGATTTATGGATGAAGAAACGAAGGATACCAAAGGTAAAATGATAGCATGTATATGTGTACATGTCAACTGTTTAGAGTGTAACTAAATCATAAGAAACAAAGCTAATTCTAGAAAATTCTGCATCTAGAGAAATAGGTCTCAACCAGGGGCGATTTTCCCACCAGGGAACAGTTGGCCATCCCTGCAGACATTTTTGATTGTTACAACTGGGGTTGAGGGTGCTACTGGCATCTTGTGGGTAGAGACCAGGGATGCTGCTAAAGTACCTTATGATGCACAAGACAGCTCCCACAACAAGGGATTATCTAGCCCAAAATGTCTGTAGTGCTGAAGCTGAGAAACAGTGCTTTCGAGTCTATTATGGAACTGTACTCAATGTTTTGAGAATCAGAATAGTAATGATAACAGTTGGTCATGCTTATATAGTACTTACTATGTGCCGGATAGTGTACTGAGACCTTTAGTCCTCACAACATCCTTATGAGGTTCATACTATTGTTACCCCAATTATGCAGACTAGGCAAAGAGATCTTAAGTTACTTGCCCAAGGTCAGCCAATGAAGTGATTGAGCTGCCGTGGGTTTCGTTCTATTAACCACGATACCATATTGCCTCTTGGAAACTGAACAGTTGTTCAGAAGTTACCAACAGATATTTAGTGATATAATCAACAGGGCTACATTTCTGAAATGCTACAGTAAACATTATGCAACTTCAGTTGAAAGAGTGATTATGTTAGCAAGAATACCAGTTCTCACTTTGGTTGGATAATGATAGTAAAAATGATTAATGCCATTCGTATTCACAGCGCAGTGCATTAAAGACTCATCTTGAAAGTTGTCTTTATAAAAATTAGCACTAATATCTTTATTTTCAGGTCATTATTTTGTAGTGGAAGCTGACATAAAGGAATTCACAGCTTTGAAAGTGGACAAGAGGTTTCATGTGATACTGAATATTTTACGACACTGCCGGAGGCTCTCGGAGGTCCGCGGGGGAGGACTTACCCGATACGTTATAACCTGAGGCCCTTGTGAGCTCAGCCAGCAGTAGGGTACAGGGGCTATTCTTATAGTTTCCTTATATATAATTTCTTTTTATATAATTTCTTTAGCTTTCTCATTTTCTTCTCTTTTAAAAAAACTTTTTTTTAAAATAAAGTGTATATATTTTAAAATTCACTTCCTTTCAGCAAATATTTAACTACCTACCGTATGAACCTCTGTGCTAGGCATATAATGGAACTAAAAAATGTTCATGTCTAGTTTTTGTGTTTAGTGACAATGCTGCAGACCCTAATAAGACGGTGCAGACGTGATAATGGAGAAAAAGGTCAGGAAGATAAGATAAGCATACCCAGGCTCTTTGGAGTTAGAAAGTCCATCACTGGCATTTCAGGTTACAGGCAAAAGTTGGATTGGGAGGCAGCCCATCCTTGTGATTATCCTGCTTTCCCATATGTCAGAGAACAGCTTACCCGAAATACATTCAGTATAAACCAATCTGTAAACTTCAACCTGTAATTAAATTGTAATTGTATTGAGATGAAAAAGATGATAAAATAACATGTGTAAACAGGTTGATAGTGGCCATGGAAAATGGGTGGTTGGATTGTAAGAATTTAGTTGTGTTTCTCTTTTGAACTTGGGGAGACTGGTCGATCTCTGTTTCAGTCAGCGTTCTCTAGAGAAACAACCAATAGAATATATGTATAAAAGGAGATTTATTATGAGGCATTGGCTCATGTGATTATGGAGGCTGACAAGTCCCCCGATCTGCTGTCTGCAAGCTGGAGACCCAGGAGAACTGGTGGTACCATTCACTCCGAGTCTGAAGACCTGAGAACCGAGTGACGTAGGCTGGAGAAGAGGAGATGAGATGTTGCAGCTCACGCAGTGAAGCAGGAAAAAAGGAACAAATTCCTTCTCCCTCCGCCTTTTGTTCTGCTCAGGTCCTCTGTGGATTGGATGATGCCCACCCCTATTGGGAAGGGTAAGGTACTCTACTGAGTCCACTGATTCAAATTCTAGCTCATCCAGAAACTCCTCACAGACACACCCAGAAACGATGTTTAACCTGGGCACCCTGTGTCCAGTCAAGTTGACACATAAAGTTAACTGTCACAGTCTGTGTCCGTGCCATCTGCTTGGCAGGCTGATCCTTGTAGCAGAGGAAAAAAAAAAAGTATCTCGCTAGGCCCAGTGGCCTGGTTAACATTGTCACTGTGATGACCACAGAGTACATGATGGCCACTGCATATTTATTGTTACCCTTTCTTTCTCCCTAATTTAAATGCAAGTATGCTTAATTTTTCATGTTTCACTTTAGTTTTTTAATTTTTTGATTTTATTTTTTTTATGAGGAAGACTAGCCCTGAGCTAACATCCACTGCCAGTCCTCCTCTTTTTGCTAAGGAAGATCGGCCCTAGGCTAACATCCATGCCCATCTTCCTCTACTTTCTGTGGGACACCACCACAGCATGGCTTGACAAGCGGTGTGTCCGGTCCGCGCCCGGGATCTGAACCTGTGAACCCTGGGCTGCCGAAGCAGAGTGCACAAACTTAACCACTACGCCGCCGGGCCGGCCCCTCGTGTCTCACTTTAAATAAAAGTAGTAGCATTATCATTTACTCTAAGTCTTGCTTAGTTCTTCTCTATGAATCATTTTTCCCTATGAAAAAACGTTTTCTCTGTGTAAAATATTTCTTCCCGAAATTCATGTTGAACATCTGTGTCAGTAAGTTTGTTTAATTCTTGTGGAATAGATACTGAGGTGAACAGTTAGTCTCTATCTTAATTGTTAGCCTGTAGTCAGTTTGTACATTAATTTAGGCATACAGGTAGTAAAATCATATTTCTCAAATAGTAAAGACATTCATTTTCAAGCAAAATGACAGGCTTGTTCTACTTGTTTATTTTTGAAAATAACATTTAAAAAAAATCTAATTTTGAAAGAATTTTCTGGTCCTGGGTCTCTGCTCTCAGATCCATTCCTTGCTTTTTTTTTGCTCCCCATCTTCTCTTGTAGTAGCTTCAGTAGCTAACAGCCTTGAAGCACCCTTCCTCTCCAGTCCATGGATCCCTGTAGCATGGCCCTCTCCAGAACTTTAGGCACAGAACTTCATGCTACAGTTCCCTGTGGCAGGTCCCATGGCCTGGAGGGGAACAAACTCCAGCTGGCTGTGTCTAGCTGGATGCTGCAGAGCCTGAGGCCTGGTTTACCACCTCCTAGTCCTACCAGCCCATGGGCCCTGGGTAAGAAAGGGGTTGTCAGTAGAGACCCAGAACCCCTCTCAGGCTTCCATATTGAGATACTAACTTTTATGTGATAAAATCTTTAATCTGTTCCTTTATAGATTCTGTTTTTTTTGGAAAAGTTGGTTATGTGTAGATAACACTTTTTCCAGGTAACACAGGTAGTTTCAAGCGATCATGGTAGATCATCTCCTCTGTCCTTTTTTTTTACCTCTCCTAAGGATACTCTGTCCCCTTTTACATTTCCTAACTGTATCGGTGTCCCCTCAGATTCTTTTGGCCTCATCCAGTTTGTATGTCTAGACATGGATCTTCTTGTGTTTATATTACTTGTTAGTTACAAAGGGGGAAATGTGCCCTTAAATGAAGAGATCTGGGTGTCACTACTTGTGGCAGATTTTATTTCCCAAAGATGGATGGATGGGAGAATTCCATATCTTCAGTGTGCTCCTCATGCTCTTTCAATGTGATGTCAACACTTCCATCAAGAGGCAGGATCTTGGTTCCCTTCCTTTGAATCTGGGCGTATCTTTGTAACTGCTTCAGCCGATAGAATGGAGAGGAAATGCCGCTGCATTTTTTTCCAAGCCAGCTATTAAAGACAATATGAATTCCATCTGGTCTCTTTCTCTCTGGGGATGCTTGCCTTTGGAACTCTGTCACCATGTGAGAAAGCCAGCACTAACTACCAGTCATGTAAACAAGTGGTTTCAGCCCTCAACCGTCAGGTGTTCTTGCTGAGGTCCCAGACACCAAGGAGCAAAGATAAGCTGCCCTGCTGTGCTCTGTCTGAATTCAGGACTTCGCAGAAATCATGAAAAATAAATGAGTATAGTTTTTGCATAATTTATCATACAAGAGATAATGAAAACACTACTCAAACTTAGTATCACCAATAGGGGAACATCCTGACATTATGTGCCTCCTAATGTGACACAATGTGAAGTAGAATGTACTGCCTGTAAAGTATTAGTGTCAAAAACATTAAACCTGAACCTAATTAAGACTTTGGCTCTATCAGCTAGTTTATAGGAAACAGGGGATAGAGAAACAAGCTAAATGTCATGAAGAAACAATCAGACAAATTCAGATTTAACATAAATAACCTGGTCTCAAAAACAAGTCAATAACAGAAAAAAAAGTGATCCTGTTCTAAATTAAAAGAGACTTAAGAGCACAACCATGTATAAACCATGAACCTTGATTGGACTCAGTTTTGAAAAAAAGATTTAGGGACAGTTGTGGAAATTTTAATATGGGTTGTATATTAGATGCCATAAAAGAATTATTGTTTTTTAGTTATGATAATGGTATTGTGGTTATGTAGGAGAATATTCTTATTTTCTGCAGATGCATGCTGAAGTATTTAGGGGTAAGATGACATGTGATGTCAATAATATGCTCCAAAATGGTCCAGCAATATAATTAGATACACATATAACATGCATGCATAGAGCATATATGGCAAAGTTAATAATTGTTTGACCTAGCTGATGGTTATAATAGTATTCACTGTATTATTCTTTCTAGTTTTATGAATGTTTAAAATTTTTTCCTAGTAAAATTTAAAATACCCATGTGAAACAAACATACTGGTCAGATACTTACATTTCATGAAAACACTGTGCGAACTCATGGGCTGGTGAAGTCGGGAAAGAAGGAAGAGTTGCTAGTGATCAGTGATGAGCTCATGTGCCACTTGGGGCACCCGTGACATTCAGCCCTCGTGCTTCCACTCTTCTCGACCCTGCTCACTGAGCCTAGGCTGGGTGTTCGAACTTCATGCATTAGATGAAATGGGTGAAGACATGAATTTCTTGAATTACCCTGGATGTAAATATTGTTATGTTTACACACAAAGCAATGTATTTGGCGTCTAACTTACGCATGGAGAGATGATATGCAGTGTATAAAGCTTGATATCTGAAAAATGTGTCACTTTGAATGAACCATGTTTTCAGACAAGCTTAGGCAGAACATATCCTCTGTGGGTGATTAATGTGGATGGATTTTCATTTCTAATGCAGGCTTATCTTTATTAAGAGCTTACTTGCCTGCGTTTTTTTTTTTTTTGGCAACTGTAGTGCAATTTCAGACCAGTATTTTAAATCTAGGATCAATGCCGCAACTCAAAAAGCTCAGATAATTAAAATTTCCTTCTGATGGGTCAGCGTGACCCAGGGCTATTCTAATTACAGAAGTTTTCTTGGTAGAGTGAGTGTGAGCTGTGCCTGAGCTGCATATTAAAAACTGCAACTTTAATCCTTAATTGTGACTCAGAAATCAAATTATTTCTTGGGAATACTCTCTTCAACTTTAAAAAATAATTCAGCAAGATGGTGCATCAAAAACAAAACATAAGCATCGGAAACCTGGGTTCTAGTCCTACCTCTGCCATTTCCTCTCTCTTGGTTCCTCCTTCAAAAATTTGATCCCTTTTCATAAGCTCCCTGTCTACCACCCTGGTCCCGAACGGTATCATCTCTCCCTTGAGTTAATTCAGAGCTTCCTAACTGGTCTCTATGTTCTTGCCCCCCTACCTACTGTCTCCACATGAACCAAAGTGAGAGTAGGTCCCTCAGCTACTCAAAAACCTTCCGTAGTTCCCATTTCATACAGAGTAAAAGCTGAGTCCTTGCAAAGGCCTGCAAAGCCCGGCATGGACCCCTCAACTCAGTGGTGTCATCTATCCTCCATTTCCCAGCTCTGGTCCAGCCACTCTGGCTTCCATGCTGTTTCTTGAACAGGCCAAGTATGAGTCTTCCTCAGACCTTTGCACTGGCCGTTGCCTCTGCCTGGAGAGCTCCTTGCCCTTCACCCATGTGACCCTCCCCCTCACCTCCTTTCTATCTGCTCAAATATCATTTGATCATTTAGGCCTTTTTGGACCACCCTATACTTAAAATTACAGCTCCTTTCTGC